TCCATTTTGGCCTCACTTTGAGAGCTTTTTTTGAGCTTGGGAGATGATTTCAGCGAAAACCAGTTGCACCATCGTGCTTCTCGCGAACTTTTACATAAGAATCAATGGTCAAATCGCAAATTCCTCGCACATGCAACATAATATGTCCATTGCACGAGACGCACAGAAAACCTAGCATATTATGAGGGGCTTGGAGGACAAGGCGCATAAAAGCTGTTTTTGAAAGAATTGAGATATTAATGATTTCAAGTTAAACTAGTCTGACTGCATCTTCTGTAAAAAATTCGCTCCCAAATTCCGACTTTTAAGCATCAAAAAGCCAATTCGAACTTTCTTTCCGCCATAAGGATCCATGTAATTTCGAAACTTCAAACACGTATTTCCCGAAGTAGCAAAAACTGCACTTACGCGCCTTTGTTCTCCAAGCCCATCATATATCGTCGTCCCTCTAACACGAGGGCGTATCTCTTTTTCCACACGAGCCTTGGAAAATATGGCGTTATATGGACATCAGGTTTCAAGTGGAAATCTAGCCACGCCCTTGTGTCAGAAAGACGACGATATATGAGTCCTCCGAGCAGAGGCGGATCCAGCAATTTGGCAACACTGGATTCCTCCATTTAAACCTATTCTAAATAATCGATTATTGTCGGAGCACCCAAGAGCATTCCAATGTCGCTAACCTTGCAAACATAAACGATCATCTGAACTAGTTTCACCTCTACTCCCAATAAACTTTGAATTCAAGACGAAAATTACCGTCGCAAAGTTTACTTTTTGCAAAGAATGTACGTAAGTTGCACAATCCTAGCAACATTGAAATGCTCTTAGTTCCTTTTTGCAAAATGCAATCCAATTGGTTTTTGGTGGAAAAAAATTAGTTTCCCACAACCTGCTATACAATGCTCCAGTGACCATGTATTAGCCCGAGCACTAACTTTTCGGGAAGAAGCCCTACCTGGTTTCTCACTTAATATCCGCCCGAGTTTCGCATATCTTCCGTTTCTCCTCATCGCAGCTTTCATCAAACCGCAATTGCCCGGAAACTAGGACTGCACATCTTATTCTGATAAAATCGTTCGCCCTTTAGACCGATTCTGGGGGGTTAGGCTAGACTAGTGATGAGTCAACTGTTGATCTACTTTCATCACGTGAACGTAGAAGAAAAACGGGGTAAAAAGTCACTAATGTGTGATCAATTTTCAAGGACAATTCTGTAATTTCTCCTACGATTTTAAATAGATTAAAACGCGTAATATCCAAGATCTAAGCTCAGATTCGGATTCCTCGTGAAAAATTGATGCGATTTCATGCATCAAATTTTAGAATAGCGTGAAGGAAAGAGGTTTAATGACGTAAAAAAACACTAATGTGTGATCAATTTTCAAGGAAAATTCTGTAATTACTCCTACGATTTTAAATAGATTAAAACGCGTAATATCTAAGATCTAAGCTCAGATTCAGATTCCTCGTGAAAAATTGATGAGATTTCATGTATCATATGTTAAAATAGCGTGAAGAAAAAAGGTTTAACGACGCGTGTAGATTCTGTCATACTTTCCCTTTGAACTACGCCGCCGCGGCGCTTAGCGTTCGGTTTCGTCCCGAGGCATTCCTCACGATAAATTCTTATTCTTCCTCCTCCGCTGACCCACTGAGCACTACCCATGTTGCCACGTTGGATTCATATGCTCGAACCAGTATGTCTACCTTACGTCTCTTTCCTTCACGCTATGCTCGGGTATGATACATGAAATTATATCAATTTTTTACGAGGAATCCGAATCTGAACTTCGATTTTGGGTATCACGCGTTTTAAGTCAAATTTTCCAAATTCGAAAATCTGAAATGACTGACGTGGCTTAAAATGCCATCTCGGCTCCTGTTTTATGGATTCTCCTGAAATTCGGTGTCAGGGTATGATACATGAAGTCGCATCGATTTTTTACGAGGAATCCGAATCTGAGCTTCGATTTTGGGGATCACGCGTTTTAAATCAAAATCTGTCAAAATTCAAAAAATTCAAAATTCGAAAATCCGAGATGGCTTAAAATGCTATCTCGACCCCTGTTCGATGGATTATTCTGAAATTCGGTGTCGGGAGGTATTTTTCGACAGGAAACTCGAATTTTTAGTCCATTTTTTAAAATTCTCAAAGTCAAGATGGCGGACGTGGGCTAAAATGCTATATCGGTTTCTGTTTGTTCGAGTCTTGTGAAACGCGGTATCGCACGGTATTTTTCAACGGAAAACTTGAATTTTTAGTGAACTTTTTAAAATTCTCAACTCCAAAATGTTGGATGGGGCCTAAAATGAGCCCCGGTTCTGGCCGCCTCCGTTTCTGTTCGTTAGAGCTTGGTGAACCGTGGGATCAGGGGTACTTTTCGACGGGAAACTCGAATTTTTAGTCGATTTTTGAAAATTCTCAGATCCAAGATGGCGGACGTGGTCTAAAATGCTGTCGGCTCCTGTTCGATGGATTTTTTTGAAAATCGGTGTCTGAGGGTATTTTTCGACCGGAAACTCGAATTTGTACTATGTTTAAAAATTCTCAAATCCAAGATGGCGGACGTGGCCTAAAATGCTAAGTCGGCTCCTGTTCGATGGATTTATGGCGCCCGCCCCCTTACTACATGCCTACTCTTGTATTTCTGCGCAGCCGCAAATTTAGGGTCAAGGAGCGCCTGACCGTCTATGGACCAGTGGTCCATAGACAGGGGCGTAGCTAGGACATTTTTCTAGGGGGGGCCATGGGACCACCTCTTGTGGTGAAGAGAGCGGGGGTGGGTGAGGAATGGAGGATCCCGTTTTTCTGGGGGGGGGGGGGC